TTGAACACGACTCAAAATAAAAAAAAATTATAAAAATCATTATATGGATCCTATTTTAGGGTATCAATCAAGTTGAGTAAGGCTTGGTTGAATATCTTTGTGGTCCAAAATCCAAACCATCAAAGTGAGCTTCAAGTTCTTCCAAAATTTCTACTGAATAAAGTCTAAATAAAGTCTAATAAAACCTAACTAAACTATTTTAATCATACTTCAACTTCTATTCAGAAATCCTTTGCTCAATATCAAAAACTCATTTCCTAAGCACTAACACATAAAACACATCATGGATATCTGACATATGATCGGGCGACAGTAGCCTATAATAGATTTTTCAACTCTTCTAATAATTTCAAAAGAACTAATATACTTTAGACTTAACTTACTATTCTTTCCAACTCTACTTACTCTTTTCATTGGACTAACTTTTAGAAAAATAAAATACCTAACTTGGAATTCAATATCTCTATGCTTTGGGTTGTAATACTTCTTATGTTTATCCTGAGCAATTTCTAACATCTTCCTGATCATTTTGATTTTATCTATAATTTCATCAACCAGTTCATGACGCATCAATCTTCTTTCACCTACTTTAGTCCAACTCAATGGCATTCTGCATGTTTTGTCATACAAAACTTCATAAAGGGTCATTCAAATACTTACTTGGAAGTTATTATTATAGACAAATTCAACTAGTGGGGTATAATCTTCCAAGCTTCCACCAACATCAAGAATACATAGCCTCAGCAAAACTTATAATACTTGAATCGTTCTCCCAAATTGTCCATCTGTTTGAGGATGAAAAGCTGTATTGAAATTTAATTTTGTCCTAAGACCTTCTTGAATACCCTTCCACAACCTAAAGGTAAATCTATCATCCCAATCTGAGACAATTACTTTCGAAATCCTATGCAACCTCTGAGCCAATTTGTCAATAATATTAGTTTGTCTCATAGGAAGAAAGTTGACTAACTTGGCCAATCGATCTACAATAACCCATACAACATCATGGCCTTATCTAAACAATGAAAAACCCATAGCAAAAACCATAGTAGTCTCCCATTTTCATTCAAGAATGGATACAAGCTGCATTAAACAACTTGGCATATAATGTTCAACTTTCACCATCTAATAGGTTTACACTTAGAAAACTTAGGTCACATGAACATAAGTTTCAAGTCATTATACATATTATTACTTCCTGGAGGAATTGTAGAATCCGAATAATAAGTTTTATGTGGAATGTCATTTCTCAAGTCTCCAAAAGCAGGGACCCACAATCTACTGCCACAAAACACTATATCCTAATCATTATCTTGCATTTCAGGCCTCCTTCTAGACTAAATTTGATCCAACAATTTCAACTATTCATCATCTTTCTTCTGAACTTCCTTAATTCTTTCTTACATTGAATGATGAACAATCATCTAGGAGATGACTTCTGCCTTCACTTTAGATGGACATACAACTTCAAATTCCAATTTCTCCAGCTCCTAGATCAAAGCTAGCTTAGAGATAAGCAGACTGGCTACTATTCCTATAAACTTCCTGCTCAAAACATTAGCTACTACATTTGCCTTGACAGGCTAATAAATAACATCCAAGTCATAATCCTTGATCAATTCTAACCCAATTTTTTGCCTTAAATTTAATTCCTTCAAGTGGGAAAAAGGCTTGATGTTGTTGTTGTTGTAAGTGAAGATATTTTTCAAACTTTGGTGTTCAGTATTAATCTCACAGTCTACTCCATACAAATAATGCCTCAAGATCGTTAAAGCAAATACAATCGCCATCAACTCCAAATCATCAATAGGATAATTTTTTCTATGCGGCTTTAATTTCCTGGAAGCATAAGCACCACCTTCTCATTATGCTGCAATACACAACCCATGCCTTTCAAAGAAGCATCATTATACACTTGAAAAACTTCAACACCAGACGGAATAGCACAGGAGCTGACACCAACACTCCCAACTTCTGGAAATTAGATTCACACTTTGATGTCCAATCAAATCGTATGGCCTTCATAGTCAATTTGGTTAAAGAGATTGCAATCTATGAAAAGTTTTGACAAACTTTCTGTAATAACTTGTTATGCCCAAAAAACTATGAATCTCAATTATTAACATTAGCCTCAGCCAATCCACCACAGCTTGTACTTTCTATAGATCTATATGTATGCCCTCCTTACTAATCACATGTTCCAAAAATGTGATAGAGTTCAACCAAAATTCACACTTCAAAAATTTTGCATATAACATATATTGTCTCAAAATCTCCAAAGTCAATCTCAAATGATTCATATGATCATTTTCAGTCCTTGAATATACTAGAATATCATCAAAAAATGCCATGATCCAAATACTCCTTAAACATCATATTCATCAAATCCATAAATATTGCAAGCACATTGGCCACACCAAAAGGTATGACCGTGAACTCATAATGTCCATGTTTGACATTAAAAGATGTATTCTCTACATCCTTAGCCTTTACCTTCAACTAATGATAACTAAATCTCAATTCAATCTTCGAAAATACAACAAAAACCTCCAATTGATCAAACATATCATCTATCTTGAACAATGAATATTTATTCTTCACAGTTGTCTTATTCAGCTCTTTATAGTCAATACAAATTCACATAGATTCATTGTTCTTCTTCATAAACAATATAGGAGCACTCCAGGGAGACTCACTTGATCTGATAAAGCCTATATCCAATAACTCCTATAATTACACCTTCAACTCCTACAACGCTTTAGGTGTCATTTTATAAGAGGTTTTAGCAATAAGAGAAGTATCCAATACCACCTTAATTCCAAACTTTATTTCCCTTTCTATAGGTAGATTAAACAATTCTTCAGGAAACACATCTAATTCTCTCACTACTGAAACAACCTCTAAGATTGCCAACAGACTTACTGTCATCTCTCACATAAGCCAAGAATATTGAACTCCCTTTTTTATAAAAAAATTATCAACTTGTAGGGCTGAGATCATAAAAGATAATATAACTCTGACACCTTGAAAATAAAATACATCTCCCTTATCACACAGTATTGCTCTTTTTTTATCAGTTAAAATGGGCTCCATACCGACTTAATCAATTCATTCCCACAATAATATCAAATTCCTTCAATGGTAATACAATTAACTCTGACTCCAACTTCCAATATGATATTCAATCTCACATATGTAATTTCAACTAGCAACTACAAAATCTTTAGTAGGCAACCTAATAAATAAAATAGATGATAATAAGACAGTAACTAGACCCAAGCTATCTAGAATATGCTCAGATAAAAAAGAATGACTTGCACCAAATAAAAAAGAATGCGACAAGATTGTGCAAAGATGCAAGTCGTACATATCACCACATCTGGGGTATCTTTCGCTTCTTGATGAGTCAAGTTATACACATGAAGCTAAGCTTAAGCTTCCTATCCCTAAAAGCTCCACTGGATCACACTGATTTTCTTCGAACAAAAGGAACCACCCTTTTGGCCATAATAAAAACACTTATATGAATACAAATAACATCTGTCATGGTGTATTCTTCCATATAATCCATAGAAAGAGACACTACTCACAAATAAAACCCAACTACCCCTAGGTACCCCTGATCCTCCTCTCCTCGAATGACCCACTCCCAACTTGCTCTTCTTTTCGCTAACCCTGTTCTTTGTCAGTTCTCTAAAGTTTTTCCTGTTGGCATCCCATCTCTATTGACTGGGTACCAGATCATTCTCTATTAGTCGGGCCGCTCCACCAGCTCAGAGAAGTTCTAAATGTAGAAATGGAACTAATGGATATCTTAAATTATCTCACAACTATCTCAAGAATCAATAACACTTCTCCTTCATAGCACTAATTAGCTGCAAAGCATACCTTGCGAGATCTATAAACTCAATCTCATACTACATAACTTGCTCCCCTACACTAGTCTTAAGAAAGACCTATGATGCACCGACACGGCACTTAAAGAGGGTATGCAGTGTCGGACACGGACACGCGTCGGACACGGCATGGACACGTGTCCGACAATGCATGGAGTGTCGCAATTTAAAAAATTAAAATTAAAATCGTACACGCGTGTCCGGTTATTAAATGAGGTATCGCTAGGTACATGCTCGGTACAGCTCAGTACATGCTCGGTACCGCTCAGTACATGCTCGGTATCGCTCAGTACATGCTCGGTACTGCTCAGTATATGCTCGGTACCGCTAGGTACATGCTCGGTACTGCTAGGTACATGCTCAGTATCGCTCAGTTCAGCTAGGTACATGCTCGATACTGCTAGGTACATGCTCGGTACTGCTAGGTACATGCTCGGTACTACTAGGTCGAACCCCGCCAGGGGGCAGCGCCCCCTTGGACCCCCGGCAGACCGGTTTATTGTTGTATTCATGTTGTCTTATTATTGGGATATTTTGATTCACTTCATATCAATTTAATTTGATATATTCATATGTATGATTGGCTTGTTAGCAAAATGAGCTCTGCTGCTGGCGGGAGTGGATCAACTGAAGGTTCAAAAGAGTCATCTGTCGACGCTGTGTCCGTGTCCTATATTTTTAAAAATCATTATATATTATATTAAAAAATTATTATGCCGTGTCCACGCCGCACCCGTGTCCTATTTTTTTAAAAATTGTCGTGTCCCGTGTCCGTGTCATGTCCGTGTCGCCGTGTTCGTGTCGGTGCATCATAGATACACACACACACTTATATAACATTCAAATATCTAGATTATATAAAAAATATTACTAATATTAATTTATTTAAAGTAAAACATAAATTTTCATGAACATACTCTAATGGGGTTCAGACAGATAAATGACAATATAAATAAATATAAAGATTTAGATATTAAATATGCAAATAAATAAAAACTTTGGGGTAGGTACGTAAACCCTCAGTAAATTATTTCTCGAGGCACAGCCACTAACATAAAGAGCAAATAAATGCACAACAGATTAAGTTCAAAGCATGTTACTTACATTGATTAAACTAATTTATTTTGTCACTCTTGCAGGAAGAAAATTATATTGATGGTTAGTAGAGATGAATGGCTAACCAAAACTTCGTGCCCAAAAAGCTCTGAGATGATATTTGCGGCAGCTTGTGAAGCCCTTTCTTCATTATTGATTGGATAACAACATTGCATGACACAATCTGAAACCCATATTGATTAGATAAAAAGACTATCCATGATACAAGCATTTGAAGATATCAATATAAATATGCAAGCACAACAAAATCCGATACTGTTATTGCATTAAAAGTTGTCTGCTGAGAATCTAAGAGGCAGCCAAACAACAGCTAAAGTAAAGGCTAAAAGCAAAACCTGCATATATCAGCGAATCCAGCAACAACAAACCTGCAGAAAACCATTTCATTGTATTCGGGATTGCCCAGGTGGCAGGAATGAAAAAAATTGTGATAAATAAATGAACAGCACCTGAACAAAGAAAACTCGAAATATTGTCAAAGCCTTCAATTCAGAAGTCCTCCAGCAAAAACAAAATCTTCTACCCAGAGAACCTTTTTTTTAACAATTTAATAATATTAAATCCTAATAATCCTACTCACACGATTCTATAATCCCATGGGTCTCTTGAAAATTTTAATTGTATTATATATTACATATAAATAATCTAGGGTAGCACTATAGTCGCATTCTGAATGGAAGCAGAATCAAAAGGGCACAAATCCAATATAAAAAAGAAAAAACTGCATAGTTGTAACAAAAGATTCTCCTTTGATGTGGTAAAGACCCGTATCAATAACTATGATCTTGCATATGGACAATTCCTCAATATTTTGTCTATTCGCAACAAAATCTTTTCTTTGTGCATCAATAAAAAAGTATATATTTTTTGGAGAGAGACTATTTCACCAATCGAGTCATAGGTATCTGACATCTTCATACCTAATGATTTCCCACAAAGTTGTGAAGAAACGTATAACTTTTCCAAATTGTACAAATTTTTTCATTTTTCAATTTGATCTGATCCATTCTTTTGTCCATATGAGAAGCAACTGAAGAGGAACGGATATTAAGGCTACAAGTCTGACATTTTAAAACCAAATTGTCCACCGATAGTGATAACTATAATTTGAGGAGTGCCCAAAATAAATAAACAGCTACTTCATCCCTGAATGATGCTGAAACAGCAACTGCAGCACCGGAACTCCACAAGAAACAATAAAGAGAAGTGATGCAGAGTTAAAAGTCAGCACTCCATCATCACTCCTTTGAACCAAGAAATGGTGCACGAATAAAGCAGCAAACAATTGGAGCAATCCAACCATCAGCAGCAAGTGACAACAGAATAATACTCTAAATAGTTTGCTGACATCAGCTGAACAAAACAAAACTCCGAAAGATCCCAGCAAAGTTCAAACCATCGGAAACTGTAACAAATGAAATACAAGAAGTTTGAAGCAGAAGTCCAAAACTGAAACAAAACAAAAGCCGAAACTGAAGCAAAATTTAGAACAATTCAAAATCTTACAAGTTTATTCCAGCAACCACCAATAAAAACCAGCAGATTTGGAGTAGCCAATGAATACGAATAAGTGAGATATTAGACTTTTCAGTGACACAGATTGAACCAAATTAGCAGGTTTGCAAATCTGAAACACAGGACTGAGCACTGTATATTGAGTAATCATTCAGATCACTGTTATAATCCTCATGGAAGTAATGTTCAGTAATTCTATGGATGCAGAGGGTTTTTTACTCTTCCTGCGGTTTCTCCTGCATTAGGAAGAACAATGTGGAATCCATCAGCATCAATAGGACAAACCCGTTTTCCTTAACAGCTATTTGTATTGTGATTATGATGAACCAAGGAATCATCAGAAACGGCAATGTCAGAGTACTGGTTGGGACTGATTTGCTCTGGAGAATTGAGAAGGCAGCTACTCTTGTCTGATAAAATCACAGGTATACCTTATAAGAAACATTAGACGAACTATGCATCTGGTTTGGCACAAGACAGACAGAATCAGAAGCTTCCCCAATACCAGGAATTATAAAATTCTAAGCATCCAACATCACAAGATGACTATCTTACCCTTGAATATTGTTATTAACAACCATCAAGCCGTGAGTAATTGTAGGAGAATTAACATGAGAACGTTATTATTTCATAGGGATGGTTGATGCAGATGGCTGAGAATATAACATCATTAGTATCTTCAAAACATATTGAACTTAAGATGGCTTAAAATAGATTAGTCGTTTTGATATCTCTAATGAAAGATGAAAAAACTCATTAGACAAAGCGATAAAATTATTGTAAAAGAATTAAGAAGGATAATGAGTATACCTAAGTTAAAATACAAAATTAATGAGAATTGCTATATAATAAAGATAGACGTTCTAAAGCTAAATTAATATGAAGTTGCCATATGGCGAAGAGTACTTGTAAAGTCCTACGTAATAGCTCTTCCTAAAATAATGATGATGATGACAAAAATGATGGTGATGATGTCGTCAAAACATCATCATCATCATCATTAGCACTATCCCTTAATTCATTCTTGCCAAGTTGGCACAATGTGTTCTATTCTTCACAAAAAGTTTAAACGATTAAACATATTATCTTAATTCTACCCACAATCCTTCCTAATTCTTTAAAACTAGTTTAATCTTCCCGTCAAATTGAAGTATTTTTTTACTTTTTATCATACATATCCAAACCACTTAAATATATGTTTAGCTACCTTACTTTTAAAAGATGCTACTCCAATTATCCCTACAAAATAATCTCGTTCCTTCAAGTTTACAGAAGCTATATAATTTTATTTGGGAGGATGCTTCTTTATGCACAAATTGCCCGTCCTAAAGTATCTCCACATATTTTCTAAGAAACTATTTGCAAAATTGATTTTTTTTTTTGTATGAATTATGTTATGTTTATTGTTTAGGAATGCTATCTTTTTGTTAAGAATGTGTTCTGATATTGCAACTATTCAGATGAATCATTGTTTCACTACAAAGAGAAAGGCATGCATACAATCATTCAAATGATGTTGAAATACAACATCAAAATTAAGAAAGGGATGTACAAGTTGTCGCAAATCCCATCAAAGAGCCTTTTGCATCTTGGCTGTCTTATTTAACAAGAACATTCACTTTTCAGACACAAAAAATGTACCCTTCTGCTTAGATCTTGATCACCATCCCATTTAGTTGGAAGTCCATCTCCTATCTAAACCAGCATCATGCTAGTTTCCATATCTCAAACCAATAGACTTTTGATGTCTAACTCTCTTTCTACGTCATTGAAATCAACTCCATTTTTACCTACTTTACTAATAATACAATAGGCTATTGTATTGGTAGGCAAATTTTTTACAATTCCTTCGTGTTTGTCATGAATGCATTGTAAAAACATTTTTGGCTCTGTTGAAATGCTTATTGTGGGCTCCGAAAATTCGGCCCCAGCCTCCCCGCCGCACGATTTCTTCTTTTTATTTGGCGAGGGAGTTTTAAAGAACTAAGTTTCGAGGTAAATTTTGGAAGGCAGATGGGTTTGTAGATAAGACACTACCCAGAGATTTCGCCCTCATTTTACGAGGACTTTATGATCTGAGTTCTAGTTTCCTATAGGCGCAAGCCCCT